TGAATTGAGTTGAGTTTACTCCTCTTGTTCTTGATTGAACTTTTGAATTTATCAAAGGTAAATCACATCTTTTGTGGTGTTCTTGCTTGTAATTTGGGTTCTTCAGACGGGTCTAGATTTTAATATAATCTAGGTTCTTGGAACGAGATCTCAACGGGTCTAGTTGCATTACCAGCATTACCGGGCATGATCTCTCAAAAAGGTTACGACACAATTGTTGAATGGTCGTAACTTCGCTGAGTGGTCACGCTCATTCCAGCTTTTCTTAGGACGTGTAAGGAAGCTTGGTTGGCTGACAAGATCTCACCCAAAGACAGCTGATGCCGACCTTGGATATTCTGCATGGTTCTCTGAAAACTGTGTCATTCTTGGATGGTTATTTGGCTCAATGGAGCCCTCTGTTTGCAAGATCCACCAGTTTCATAGCTCTATTCCAAAGCTATGGAGCGCATTATCAGAGATGTATTCTCAGTCAGGACGGGATTTTTTGGCCCCCAGTTTTGGGTATCCATGTTTGGTTTTATTCTCTAGATTAGAGAATTTTGTGTAATCTCCCTTTGTTGATAGTGAAACTTTGCTATTGCGTTTCACCCGTGGAAGCTACTTGTTGGAAGCTCCATCCAGAGCTTAAGCCATCTTCTCGCAACATGATCGCCGTCCAGTTGATCGATATGGTTGGACCGCAAAGATTTTATATCCGATCTCTGCTTATGTTTCTTATGGTAATCTGTCTCCCACATTTCGAGCTTATACTATGGCCTTATCAGATACGCTGGTTCCTCACTCTATTTCGGAAGCTATGTGGGAGCCCTAGTGGGTTCTTGCCATGCAGACAGAGATGAACGCTCTTCAGCGTAATCATACATGGGATCTTGTCTCCTTACCTTCAGGGGTGAAGCCTGTTGGCTGTCGCTGGGTTTACACCCTGAAGTTTCTTGCGGATGGTACTATTGATCGTTACAAGGCTAGACTTGTGGCGAAGGGCTTTACTCAGGTACCAGGTCGTGATTTTGGTGCTACATTTGCCCCCGTGGCAAAATTGACTACTGTTCAGTTAATTATTTCTCTGGCTGCGGAGTACTCTTGGCCTCTTCATCAATAAGATGTGAAGAATGCATTTCTTCACGGTGATCTGGACGAGATTATTTATATGGATGCACCACCGGGCTTTCGTGGTGAGGGGGAGTATGCTGGAAAGGTATGTCGACTGCGTAAGTCTCTTTATGGACTGAAACAGTCGCCACGAGCCTGGTTCTCTCGCTTCAGTGATGTAGTCATACGATTGGGGTTCACCAGGTGTCATTCTGATCATACCTGCTTTATTCGACGGAATACTTCTAGACAGTGTGTCATCCTTCTGGTATATGTTGATGATATTATTATTACTGGTGATGATGTTTCTGGGACTGCACAGGTCAAGATAGACCTTGGGAAGGCCTTCGATGTGAAGGATCTTGGATTTTTGCGATACTTTCTTGGGATTGAGGTTGCCCGTAGAAGCAGAGGTATTGTTCTTTCTCAGAAAAAGTATGTTTTGGATCTTCTTTCAGACACTGGGATGCATAGGCCATGTCAGCCTCATCTTGATGCAGTTTATCATATTCTTCGGTACCTCAAGTCTTGTCCTGGACTTGGGTTGTTTTATGCATCAGGATCTCAGACCGGTTCTCTAGCCTGTTATTCAGATTCAGATTATGGGGGAGCATGTGATGGTCGATCTACTACGGGTTTCTGTGCTTTTCGAGTGACTCATCTTATCTCTTGGAAGAGCAAGAAGCAGGCAGTTGTCTCCCGCTCGTCCGCAGAGGCAGAGTATCGGGCATTGGCACTTGGCACATGTGAGATTATGTGGCTACGATCGATTCTTGACGAGTTGGGTTTTTCAGTGACCTCTCCATCCACATTATATTGTGATAATCAATCTGCTATTCAGCTCGCTTCTGACTCTGTTTGTTCTTCGGGACTCCGTTGTCAAGCTTGGCTTAGTTGACATTTTTGCGCCTAGCTTGAGGGGGAGTGTTGGAGTATAGATAGTCTAGGTTTATTAGGATTTCTTTTCCTAGGTTTATTAGGATTTCTTTTCCCTTTTGGATTTCTTAATATACAGGCACCTTCAGTTAGTCACTTTTTAATTAGAGGTTTACCTTTACTGATCTATTGGCAACTTTGGAAACAAAGGTGTAGAAGGTTATTTGATGGTCAGGCATCCCATTCTATGTCCCTATCTAAAATAGTCATGCATTTCTTGAGACTCCAGACATATATCATTAAGCCTAAGGCTTTGGACACTGTTCAAGAACTAGATATGCTAAGCAGCCTAAATGTGACTATCACTAATAAAGCTCTAATCAAGACATGGTGGATTGCTTGGGAATACCCAGTGGAAGGATTTTTGAAACTTAATATTGATGGGGCCTCAAAAGGCAACCCAGGTCCATCAGGTGGAGGTGTAATACTCAGGAATTCTAAAGGTCAGCTAGTTCTTGCAGGGTCCTACTGCTACGGTTTTTGTACAAATATGGAGGCAGAGATGAGGGCATTATGGGATGGTCTGTGTTTGTTACAGGACTATGGTTTGACAGATTATCCTCTGATCATTGAAACAGATTCAAAGGTATTGGTGGATATGATTTCGAAGAGGATCCAATCTTCTTAGCATTTCTGGACTCTATTGGACAAAATATTTTCCCTTCTTCAGAGATTCTCATTCCAAATCAAGCATACTTTTAGAGAGGGTAATGCAGTAGCAGACTCCCTGGCTAACAAAAGTGTGATGGATGGCAACTCTAAAACCTATACTGCTATTGATGGCCTTCCAACAGTAATCAAGCAACTTGTATTACAGGATTTCTAGACAAATACGAGTTCTAAGGAAGCCCCGAATGATTTTATGACATGCATTTTGGAGACTGAGTTCTTTTCTTAATTGGAGAATAGATCTAGGTTTATCAGACCTGTCTTCACAATTGTCTTCTCAGATAGCTCGGACTGTTCACCTACCCTGCAGCCGTCACTTCAATAAGGTAGCTGCATTATCATGTGTTAGGCTTCTCGGTTGTTTAGCTCCACTGGACGCCTCTCTGCTTCTTCCAGCTCAAATAGCTCCCACAGCTTGTCTCCCAGCTCAAGACAACTCTTGTTCAAAGCTCCAATCAACTGCTGTCTTTATTTCATGTGAGCTGCTCTCAGCTCCTTTCTTTCTCGTAGCTAGGCCCCCAGCTCAGAGCAGTTACTATCATCAATATTTTAGGGGCAGCTTGCTTATTTTCTTTCATTTCATTATTTTGTAACTATGCATGCATTTTGCTCTTTGGTTTATTTTAATTTTATATCTATGTAATTAGATTGCATTGAGGGGTAATACGTCCCCTAGCTAGGTGTAATTTAATTTTTGATCAATAAATTTCCTCGCACCATCGAGGCTCCATAAAAAAAAAAAAAAATATATATATATATATATATATATATATATATATATATATATATATATATATATAGGTAGTGTGTCGTTGATCTAGTCATTATGTTCATAACCACCAGAGAAGACTTTCCTAGTCTTCCATGGTTAGGTTTGACAAGTTATTATTGATCCTAGCAATGGTAGTTTTTGACAAGATAAACAACCATGCACAATGTAAATTCAATAAGATGAGATTGATTAGCTTTCGATACTAAATTTAAAATAAATTAATCTTTAAGACAAATAATGAATGAGTCAAGTTTGTATCGGATATGAATAAATTGATTTTGACACGATAAATCTATTTAAGTACTTTTGAATAAAAAAAATATCCGACTTTTTCATGTTTGTTTTATTTATATATCATATTAATCCTCGCAAAAGTGGAGAAAAACTTACGAAGTCCTCAATGGTTGGTTTATCCCTATATTTCAGAGCGAATTATTCCACAATTCCACCAACTCTTATTTCCTTTTTCGTAGCTGACATCAACATAATTTTCTCATTGATGTGGCCATTCGTCTTACCTTGCGTTTTCTTACAATCATCATCATAGCATGACTTTTTCCTTTTCTTTTTTTTCACCATAGTCTAAATACATACATGTACATAACTATGAAAACTTTGATACATGTATTGTTTACATCCACGTTCAGGGCACCATATGTTTATGTTTATCAATAGCATATGTTGACTTAGTACATTCTATGGGTACAAAGTACATACGACGATATTTTATTAATACATGGTGTGATGGAATAAAATTAATTGGTATATTTTTTTGGAACTCGGTTCACTTGGAAACTATTATTTAGGTCGTTTTTCACTATTACATGATATTATATATATCCACTACTATTATAAAGGGAGAAGATGGGTTTGGTGTCCACTACTATTATAATCTTCTCCTGTTTGCAAGCAAGAATTGTGAAATGTCTATGATTTTTGTTGAATACAATCAAGTACCCATATTAGGTGTATTCCAAGAATTAGTTTGTTGTTGAGTAATTCTCTCAAAACTCGTGAATATAATTTCTTTGGCATGTTGCAGGGAATGATTCTTTGTTGGATTTTAGAAAATCAAGCAGATGCTCCTCAGCATTGGATTTGAATGTTTCAGAGCAATCAATTGTTTATTTAATGAAAAATCTAAATCAATATCAAGTTAAAATCAATTGGAAAAAAAAAGCTAGTAATTTCATAGTTTTTCATCAAATCTCAGTATGTAATGTAAAACATAGTCAACATATTTGTTAACTATATTTTTTGAATTTTTGAATTTTTTTTTTGATGTTCTGGCAAGATCGAACTTATTTGTGGTTGAATTTTTTTGAATTTTTTTAGAATGGAATGCCAAAAACCTGATTTGGTATCATAATTTACTATTTAAAAATGTTAATACAACATTAAAGTGGTAAATTAGTCTTGCCAAGCCAATTATAACATACTTTTGGATGGATTGTATTCAAGAGTATGATGATTTGATCAATAGGTAAATTAGTTAGTACATTGGGCCTGTTGGATTCAACCAAACACACTCTTAGGGTTGTTTGGTATGGGGGTATGGGGGGCTTGGCAAGACGATGACCCCTGTATTTTGGCTGCTGAAAGCGGTAATAGCCACCACATTAGTTTTGCCCACGTTGAATTGGAAGTGAATGAGACCCATCGGGTACACAAAGACGTCTCCTTTGAGTAGGACCTTGGTGAAGAGGCGGTTGCCAAGATCGGAATTGGAAGTGGCAAAGCCAACATGGAGGGTACCCTCTAGGACAACACGGATTTCGGTAGCATGAGGGTGGGTATGGGGTGCATTGAGGCCATTGGGGTCATAGTCAATACGAACTAATGAGATACCAAGAGTGTTGAGTCCTAGGATTTGTTTAACGTTTACTTGAGTCACATTCTACCCAACTGGATTTGATGTACTTCTGGGAATGTGGAGACCAAGCATCTTGGGACCAGGAAAGAAGAAATCATCAGCTGTGGCAAGCTTTGGATCCTTGCAAAACTTCCCATTCACGAACACTGCACTCATATTAATAGGTGTTTGGCAAGATAGGGTTAGCTAAATAATATAACTCGAACAAGGGAAATCCAGATAAAAATAAAAACCAAAAAGAGACCCAGATAGTATAATGAGAAAATAGAAATTTTGGCAAGTGCTTATCTACACAAATGATGCGTTATGAGTTCAAGTCCGAGAATCAACTTTTGCAAAATAAAGATAACATCCACTACTACTTATATTGATCGTAAAAACTTGTAATGTCATTGAGAATAAACATAATGTGATAGTTAAAATTCCAAGCAACGAAAGATGATAATTGACAGCTAGAAGAAGATTATACCTGCATCCTTGGGTTCATCAATTGCAACACAGAAATCCTGCAACGGGCTAGGATCGGAGGCATAGGCAAAGGAAGATGCCAAAGCCACAAGGATAATGGTAAGAAGGAAGTGATTGGCCATCTTTTTTTTTTGTTAATTGGCCTCACAGTATTCTTTATATATATGAAGCAACTTGTGTTTTTCTATGAATGGTAGCTTGATGAGAGAGGTTTTCTCCAAACCCAGTCCCCTCAAATCTTAAATCCAAAATCTAGTCAATTTTGAACTTATTTCTCAAATCCAACTTTTTCTCAAAAACGTCATTTAATGACGCCTTCATAAGATAAAACGTCATTTGCAATGACGATTTAATGTTGAAATTTTTTTATTGAAAACGTCTTTCATAATGACATTTTTAAAAGCGTCATTTATAATAACATTTTTTAACATGAATTTTTAAACGGCGTCTAACAGACGTTAAAAAAATAAAGGGGTTGCAATCGTCACTGTAAATGACGTTTTCTTCTCATTTATAAACAATGATGTTTTCTACCCCTTTATTTACAATGACGTTTTAAAAATGTCTTCTTAGCCTTTTACAATAACGTTTTCTTAGCCAAAAGTCTCCAACCACCAACTTGTAATAAATTTCATAAAAGCTTTTATGAATTTCACATCATGATTCACCAAACAAAAAAAAACATTAAATAAATTTTAGAATTTAATTCCCTTTTCATAATAATTTTGAACTTATTTTATAATCGAAAATAAAATTCCTTAAACTGTAATTTAATTTCATATTTTTCAATATAAAAACATATTTGTAAAAATAATATTTAATAAAAAAAAACTTAAAAGCGTGTTTTGAAAGCACATTTCTATATCAAAAAGTATGTATTTAATTCAAGTTTTACTAAATTGATTAAAAAAAATCTCAATATTATAATCTTACTTCCCACATCATAAAAGCATCCCAATCTAGAAGAGTTTTTCCCCAAACTCAGTCGGACCTAAAATTTTATTTCTCAAATCCGGTCTTTTTTAAAAAACGTCACTTTAAATGAAAGAATTTTACGTATATGTAATTTGTTTTGTGTATGTTAAAAAATTATGTATTTCAATTTTATGTTATAAATTCATCGAGCATTTATAGTTAACCTACAAAAGTGTGCAAAGCTTCAAAATATAGAAAGAGATACTTACACATTAAAACAAAACAAATTTATGACATGACACGGTAAAAAATACCAACATTCTTGATTCATTCGTGTCATTCCAACTAGGCTTAATTGCCTAGAATACCTTCTGATCAATTCTCCCCCATGTTCTGCCCTCTAAAGACAAATATCTCATAAATAAAGAAACAACACCTGAAATCCTTAAAAGATCTCCCAAAATTTCTATGGATTCAACCAACTCATCATGATGATTCATCTACTAATAAAAAGAAGTCTAATACATTCAATAATCAATTTGACAAATAATTTTGAAGACTCAAGAGCTTCATGAATAAAATATAAGCAAGAATAACAACTAACAGCCAGTATAACCGTATGAATCGGCTTTTATTACAAAGAACGATCAAACCTAATCATCTATGACACATATCTAACATGCTCCTGGTTTAAAACTTGACGCAATATCTGCAGGCTAGATGCAAGAAGCGACCAGTATGTGAAGTTGTGTATGAAAAAAATGCATAGAAAGAAGATGCTTAAGTCTCGACAAACAGGTACACACCCATTATCCCTAACAGAATGCCTTAAAGCAGCCCTAGCTTCACCAGGCTTCCTCTCTTTCCTTTTGTCCATCTCTCGGGCGTGACAGAAAAAATGCATACATCATAAGGAAAGGAAGAAGGAAAAAACAGCAAACCAAGCCTAAATTTATCCTAATCTTCCACTTAAACTGATCATCCAACATGCTTCTTTGTGCTTCTGTCAGCTTCCCAACATATTTCCATATGTCATCACCTGAAAAATAATTTTATCAGACAATCTGAGGAGGAAGGATAAACATTAATAACAAGATGCACCCCAATAAAAGCAACGGATGAATATCCCCTTTTTGATGCATATATAATGCTCTTCTAATGACTATCCATCCATATTGTTGAGCTCTTTTCAAAAACATAATTTACTAGACAATAAGTTCAACAAAATGAAAGGCTAAGCAAACAAGCGAAAGTGGCAAATTTCATTTAAATATCTCACTAGATCAGTCTACAATAAGTGTATGACATCACAACTCACCAAGAATCTTATAACCAGTAGCTAGAGTATTTAAAGCAGCCTTCCTAGTTTCACCATCTCGTTCAGCTGTTAAACTTGCAACAATTTGCAAGCATTTTAGCTGTCCAACTATCTGTGGAAAGGGGTCTATCATTATCAAAAAAAAAAACCCTTCAATTATAGAAATCTAGCAAACCATGCTTCTATGAGAAATTTTCTCAAACACCTTCAAAGAAAGACCCAAATCACCACAACCCAATTACAAACAACCCTTGTGTTTTTGGGTGTCTCTTTTCATCATCGTCCATGACAACCAATAAAAGCAACAAAAAATAGAAAGCATGACTCAGGCACTAAAATCCACCATGTAAACAAACTAAAGTGCAGCAAAAAAAATTGACATTGAACCAAAGATCCAAAATAGAAGATCCGAAAAATTAACCAAATGAAACCATATTTGCTTGACCAAATCGAATCATCAATATTATGCGACTAACATCAATTATGTAGTCCAAAATAAGGTACATCTCAATACACAAATCTTGATATGTTTATCTTATGCTTTCATGGCTGTGCAAACTTTAAATATTGCATTTATACATGCCTCCAAGTTGTAACAAATTTCTTAAATTTCTTAGGGATGACTATAAAGCAGGTAAATTTTCTTCTCGGTAAGATTCATTGTTTGCCTGTACAATACAACTAAGTCAAATCTAGTTTGGCCAAAAGTACCAAAACGACAAATCTTATAGTGAATGAATAATTCAGGTATTGTTTTCAAAACTTACTGGATATAAGAGGTTCATAGATTTTGTTCTTTCAAGCCCACATAAAAACAAAACACACATTTATACTTCCTACACACTTCATCTACAATCAGGATCAATGCACTCAGCGCCAACAGATGTAGGAGAGGATGAGTGATTGTTTGCTCATCATACCTATTGCTCGATGCGAGTCGAAAATGGTCGCTCGGTGGAGGACTCGATGGAAATGCCTGCGGAGCTCTGATCTGATGGATGGAAGACTTGATGGAGCTCAGTGGACTGGAGCTATGTTCAATCGTTGGTGTTCTAAATCGATTTATCGATGTAGTCCAGAATGGAGAATGGATAATGCTCAGTCGCTGACTTGCTTAGTCTGGAATGGAGAATGCTTAGCCTGAAATGGAGAATGGAGAATGCTCACCGCTCATTGGCTGACTCGCTAGATGAACAATGGTTGGAGCTCGTTGGAGATAACTGTCGTTGAATGGTTACAGCTCGTCAGAGAAGAGGCTGGCTAAGAGCGGTGAGTGGAGGAGTTCGCTCACAGTCGTTTGTGGAGGTGGAGAGCTGACTGTACAAATGTTTGAAAATTTTTAACCTAGGCTGCAATTTGGGAAATTTTAAGGGAGGAGATATAATGTTCAAATCGTCATTGTACATGACATTTTACAATGACACTTTTTACCCCATTTTTTTTTAACATCCGTTAGCTGCTGTTTAAAATTCGTGTTTAAAAATGTCACAGCCAAAAGACGACTTTAAAAAGGTCATTATGAATGACGTTTTAAGGAAAAAAAATTTCAACTTTAAAACGTCATTTTAAATAACGTTCTTGAAAAAAAACTAGGTTTAAAAAATAAGTTCAAAACTGACTAAGTTTTTAAATTAAGATTTTAGGGGGTCTGGGTTTAAGGAAAACCTCTTGATGAGAAGTGTGTAGATTTAACATGGTAAAAGCCCCTACATGTAGGTAGTGTGACCTTGATCTAGTCATTATGTTTATAACCCCAAGAGAAGACTTACCCTGTCTTCCATGGTTAGGTTCTGGCAAGTTATTATTGATACTAGCAATTGTATTTTTTGACAGGATAAGCTACCATGCATAAAGGAAATTCAATAAGATAAGATTGACAAGTTTCTGACACTAAATTTAAAATAAATTAATTTTTAAGACAAATTATGAACGAGTCAAGTTAGTATCGATTATGAATAAATTGATTTTGACACGATAGATCTATTTCAGTAGTATTGAAAAAAAAAATATCTGATTTTTTCATGTTTGTTTTATTTATGTATGTCATATTAATACACACAAAAGTGGAGAAAAAATTACGAAGTTTTCAATGGTTGTTTTTTTTAATATTCCAAAACAAATTATTCCACAGTTCGACCAACTCTCATTTCTTTTTTGTAGCTGACAGCAACATAATTATCTCATGGATGTGGCCAATGGTCTTGCCTTGCTTTTTCTTACTACCATCATCATAATATGACTTTTACCTTTTTTTTCACCATAGTCTAAGTACATACATGTACTTAACTATGAAAATTTTGCTACATGTGTTGTTTAAATCCACGTTCAAGGCGTCTTATGTTTATTTATAGCCTAAGTTGACTTAGTACGTTCTATGAGTACAAGTACATACGAAGATATTTTTTTTAATACATGGTGTGATGGAATAAACTTAATTGGTATGTTTTTTTGGAACTTGGTTTGCTTGGAAACTCTTATTTAAGTCAATTTCACTATTACATGATATTATATATATACACTACTATTATAAAGAGAGAAGATGGGTTTGGTGTCCACTACTATTATAATCTTCTCCTGTTTGCAAGCATGCACTGTGAAATGTCTATGATTTTTGTCGAATACAAGTACCCATATTAGGTGTATTCCAAGAATTAGTTTGTTAAATGGTACAAGGCACCATCTAGAAGGGAAATCTCCTCTAGTTTTCAAGTCTCTCCAAACTGGTGAAGAGAATTTCCTCAGCTTGTTGGCGAGAATGATTCTTTGTTGGATTTGAGAAAATCAAGCAAATGCTCCTCGGGACTGTTGTCAAAATCATTGTTGAGTCCATGGAACTCTATTGTACGTTTTTTGTTTTTTTTCTTGGTTTAACGGTCAGAACTGTTCAGG